CTGGTTACAGTGATACAAGTATTGGCCAGTCCAACGCAGAATTTGATAGGAGTCACGGCTATTACTTGTGACTACTGCAGCACAAGTATTGGCCATTATTAGGAGCAGCATCAACATATATATGACCAATACTTATGACAGTGTATAAGTTCGGACAATATTCTGGTCCATGAGTAGTAATGGGAAGGTGGCTATTTTACTTGTAGTCCATTCAACTCATGTGACTCACTCAATCAACAACAATAAAAATACATTAACTAAAACTACGTTGTGTCTAGCTCAGCTAAACTACACAAGAAGAACCGCAAAGGAGACCATGAGCAGAGCCACGGAAGATTTGGTGGAAGCTGCCGAGTTGGCCTGCTCAGGAAGAGGAGGAAGGGACTCTTCGGACTGAGGAGGAGCTTGCTCAGGAATTGAAGGAGAAGGCCCAACGGGATGAGACTCAACGGGGACAACAGGAATAGCAGGCTCAGAAACGACAGGCTCAGAAACAACAGGCTCAGAAACAACAGGCACAACAGGCTCAGAAACAACAGGAACCTCGGGAGTAGGCTCGGGCTTGACCTCAGGAGTCGTCTTGAACTTGGGAATGGTGAACATGGGGTAGAGGGGCTTGGTCACTGTGGGCTTGATAGGCTCAGTTGAAGGCTTGGGCTCGGGAACAGGAGTGGACTCGGCAATCTCAGGCTCAGGAGTAGACTCAACAGTTGGCTTAGCAGGCTCAGGCTGAGGAGTGGAAACAGGCTCAGACTTAACAGGCTCAGACTTAACAGGCTCAGGAGTAGAGACAACAGGCTCAGGAGTAGACTTGACAGGCTCAGACACAACTGGCTCAGGAGTAGACTTAACTTCAGTCGAAACCACAGGCTCAGTCTCGCAGGGAACAGTTAGAGTGACGGTCTTGGAGGAGATGGTGGTGACAATGACGTTGGAAGGGACAGGGGGGATGTGAGTAGTGCTCACGGTCGAGGAAGTCTGAGGCTCAGGAGTGGACTGAGTGGAAGATTCAGACGTGGACTGGGAAGTAGTCGTAGAAGGAGTTGAAGAAGTCATAGGAGTAGTTGACTGAGTGGTAGAAGTGGTAGACTCGGAAGTCGTCGGAGTGGTAGACTGACTAGTTGTAGTAGACAGAGTCTCAGGAGTAGAGCTCACAGGAGTAGTCTCGGGAGTGGAGGTGGTGGAAGTAGAAGACTGAGAAGTAGTCGACTGAGTGGAAGAAGTTGACTGGGTCTCGGAAGTAACAGGAGCAGAAGTAGAAGGTTCAGAAGTAGTAGAAACAGTGGAAGTAGTAGAAGCAGTGGAAACGGGAGTAGTAGTCGACTCGGTAGTCTGCTGTTCGGGAACAGGAGCAAGTCTAGCGAATCCTCTTCCCACAGGAACACAAGTCTCGCAAATGTAAGCAGCAGCTCTGGAACCAGAACCAGAGTGGTCAGCAGAAATCCATCGAGTCGCTTCATTACTGTCAGCGTCGTTCCAGAGCTTCCACTCGACCTTGAGGTTGAAAGATTCGACAATGTTCTTGATGTGCGACGGGAAAGAAACGTCAACATTGTAGACCTCAGCCGGAAGGTTGAACAGTCTGCCAGTGAAGCCAGAAGCAGAAGCCTTGGAGATGGAGTGGTGCTGGGAGTACTTCTTGGGGTCAACCAGCGACATGGATCCAGCCTCTCCAAACTCGTTAACGTCGTGCGAAAGCTGAAGGACGAGGTTGTCCTTGACGTCCTGAATGCTCTTGATGGTAGATTCTCCGTCAAGAGTAATGGTGTACTCCAGACGGTTCCAGGGCGTCAGGGGAAGTCTGACCTTCCAGCCAATCATGCCCTCTTTTCTCTGGCCGTACACAGACGCCCCCTTGACGTCCAGGCTGGGATCGATAGTGACAGAGTCAGAAAGCGTCTTGGAGCCTGATTTGACAGTAACGTCGATCTTCTCAGCTTTGACCAGCTTGTTTCGGTCGAAGGGAGCTTCGAAGTTGAACTTGCCGCTCAGCGAGCCGTCAGCAGTGTAGGTAGCCGTGAAGACGTTGCCGGAGTTCTTGATCGTCATAACGCTCTTTCCGCTGGAGTCCTTGACGGAAAAATCGAGAATAGAGACAGCAGCACGCTCGTCGACGGTGAAAGTGAAGTGGTCACCAGACTGGATGTCTTCAGACACAAAGTCAAGGTCCCAGATCCATCGGGCAGAGAACTTGCCGTCTTTGGAGTTGGAGAGCGTGTGGACGTCAAGAGAAGTCAGAGGCGAAGAGACCTCTTTGGCAGTGACCATAATGGCCTGCAGAGCCAGAAGATAGAAGGATTTCATGTGTAACGAGTGTGTCTGTTGGTACAGAGGGGTTACAGATGAGTCTATATTTATATACCTTCGATGTTGCTGAACCTCATGGACACAAGGGTAGAAGAGGCTTTGTTTGGTTGTTGGGACAGATGAACAAACAGAAGACATATTTCTAAAGACAATGTCAAACAATGCTTGCCTCATACATTCCGTACAAGTGGTCTTCATGTCTTCCACGCTTTCGTATATATTATATTTTCAGAGCTGGATTTATTTGTCGGAAAAAATCTCACACTGTTTATGGACAAAATAATAAGGACGTTGAAAAATATTTAATAATACCAAAATCATACAGCTATACATCTTCATACACCTTCATCTCGTCAAAATTTAGGTTCCACTTATGCGAGATACGAAATTACTGCTTTGGGACACAATAGAGCCTCCCTCGTGTTTCGTCAACAAGCTCATGTACGTCAGATATTGCCGGTTAGAGACACCAACCATATCCAGCTTTCTTAGGGCCGCATTTCTGTTCTTTGTTTCTGCTTTGTGTAATAAACCATGCCATAAAGCGTCCTGTACGTCTTGTTTCAAGATGCATTTTTTTTTATTACACTACCTCACAAAACTATGTCAAAATTGCTTTAAGCGTCAAAGAATATGTCATCGTCGCTGACTTTTTTCTGTCGTGGCGGCCAACAATCCTGCTCTTCGTAGTACTCCTCTGTCTCCTCGGACATGTACAGGGCGTTGAACTTGCCATGCGAAAAGCCCTCGACACTAATAGGCCGAGATCCCGTAAAGACAGGAAGTGTGACCTTGCTGACAAAAAGCTCTTCTTGGACGTCTGTAGGGTGATAAATCTGTTTGAGTCGCCATTGCTGTTCTCCTTGATATCTTCGTCGACATTGGTAGCAGTCATGATCCAGTCCTTCCGCACATACAGCTTTCCTGAGAGGCGGTCCAAGAACGTTGGCACAAAATCACGGTCGTTCATGAACCACCAAATGAGTCCGTTGTAACAAGCCACTGGATTGGCAAATGCTTCTGCGAACGAGTCTGGAGTACACCTGATAAACTTCTTGGAATAGGTGTTGAAGAACTTGAATGTAAAGCCCCGGTCTTTCTCGACTCTCTTCCTTTTCTTGCCATGCTTGAATTCAGGTGCCTTGCCGACAACGAACACATCGTCCATTAGAAAGCCTCCCTCCAAAACGCTTACATCAAAACCCCCTCCTGCGTAGTGGTAGACGGAAGCATGCTTGTAATGCAGTTTATCGCGCGGGGAAATGTATCGGTCTGCGTCGAATTTCACGAGCAGTACGTTCTCGCCAACTTCGATTTCTCGCACGTTCTCTGGACGTTGCATTGGCAGAGTGATCTCGAATCCGCCGTATGCGACAACAATTTCGCCCTCAGAAGAACTCGGTCTGGTGTCTCTGAACTGTGCTGCGTGTCTTTTGCGGTCTACTCTAGCGTGGCAAGATCAAGGTCTCCCTTGTAGTGGTGCAGACTTCCACAAGTTCGCGTGCAGCTCGATATACAGTCCAGCTCGGTATGCGTCCTGACACTCTGGAAGTTCTCGGGCAGTTTCTCGCCTTTCTTGAGCTCCACGGCAAGCAGATCTTTGACTGGAGAGTCCTTTCTTTTTTTGGAGATGTCGCGGAAGTGGTCAACCAGAGTCCACTTTGAGCTCTGGATGCGTTTGACAAAGACCAAAGCACAGTCTGCCCACGAACGCATTTCGGCCTGGGGTTTCATCCAGGGGCTTCGCTGAATGACCTTAGATTTCAGGATGTCCTCGATCTGCGAAAAGTAGGAGTACCAGACTGAGTTGACTTGACGGAGACTCACACACGACTCCAGACCACAGTGCGAGTACACCATTGCAGCCACTTCCACGGGAAGGTTAAATCTGATCTAGCTTCACTTCTGGACGAGTACTCTGGACGTCCAAGTGCTGCGAGAAAGAGTTGTTTTCTAGCAAAGCCCAGCGTCTGAGGCTCTCCTCCTGCCACTCCAGCAGAGCGTGGATATGATTCTGTAGCAGAATCGAGTCTCTGTCTCCCCGGGCGGTCTGGGAGTTGTTCATCGCTTTTTTCCGCGGATCGTATACTCGGAGGTTCCACCTTACCAGATCGCTTTTGTCTTTCTCAGTGAGCTTTTCCCTTCTGGCTTCCTCGAGATGCAGCGCGTGCGAGGTGGTGTTCAGCTTTTTGAGCTCCTGTCGTCGAGGTTCCAGGCTGAGGAGATTCTGTTTGTGAACCTCCATCAGCTTCTTTAGAGCTGCTGAAACTTGCTCTTTGGTCGAGGGTATGTCGAGTTTCGTCTTTGCCTGTTCGAGGCACTGTTCGAGGTCGGTTGCAATGTCTTTTCTGGTCTTCTCCAGCTTCTCCAGCCTTTCTTCCTCCGCCTAGTGTTGTTTCTCGATCAGGGCGAGAACATCCTCTCTCGTTTCGTTGGCCATCTGCTGTTCCTTTTCTTTGGCCTCTTTTGCGACGAGGCCCAGATATACTCGCGTATAATACGGGAGTTCCTTTTCGGCCATGTTTGGTGTTTGGAAGGTTGCAAAAAACACGTAAGTTCAGGTTGTAAAAAACACGTTTTCAATTACACAATACGTGACGCGTGCCTGCGTTAATCATGCATATGAACCAGAACATGGTGATGAGAACCATTGCAGAGAAAAACGCAAGAGAAAAACGCAGAGCAAAAAAGAATAGCGGTACCTGGTTTCGATCCAGGGACATCAGGGTTATGAGCCCTGCGCGCTTCCGCTGCGCCATACCGCTTTGATGAGTTTCGGGGTTTGAATGGAAGTTAGACGCTGTAGTTTGGCTTATTTTTGAGGATTTCAGCGATTGTAGCATTTGGGGGACTTGAATGGTTCATATTGTGCATCTCTGGTTGATTTGTTTGGACTTTTCGTGTTTTTGGCTGATGACATGTTTTGTCCTTTCAAAAATTATGCACACTGTTTGGATGGAGCATGCTGTTTTTTTCAGATCACTCGCGTTTGATGCCGGGAGAGATTCTTGAAGAGGCTCAAATGGAAACAAACAAAGGAAATCGTGCTTATACAAGAACGGATGAAACTCCTTTTCTCTTTCCCATGGACACTTGAAGAACTCAGACAGCCTTTTGACAGTACTCGAACGACAACTAGCGACAGAGGAGATACAGGCACCCTGGGCAACTGCAGACTTCATTGACCATAATTGTATCGCTTTTTGTTCACAAAATCAAGTTTACCACGCTAAACACGGTATCGATACAGTAATTACTTGTGCTAGTAAATGACCCTATCATATCTATCCATTAGCTACTTGTAGCTTCAGAAAAAGTACAAAAAGGAGCGAAGTACCAGGGTACTAAAGAGGATGACTTAAAACAACACGCTCAACATTATACATGGCCCGCTTTTCTTCGTTTTCCACTTTTCCGCAAATTTCCAACCAGTACATCTTCCTCGAGCCCGACCTCCACAGCGGATTTAGCTCAGTTGGGAGAGCGCCAGACTGAAGTCATTCTCAGTCTCGATATCTGGAGGTCCTGTGTTCGATCCACAGAATTCGCAGCGTACTTTCTGTACCAGTCTTTTTTGTACCGGTTCCTACCTAGGCAGCTTTTTCCTGAGATGCTGTGTACATCCCTGGTGCATGCTGTATCATGAGGAGAGACGATTGTTAGTTGTACTTTTTTTTTGACGTAGTTGTAATTCTCCAATTCCATTTCATTCAAATCGAAATGTACTCGAGATGTGCTGATCTAACGGACGAATGACCTGATAGCTCTTCTACCACTCCAAGCTTGTGGGAACGTGTACTGGTACGAGTACTCATAGGAGAAAAATGGGTATTCTTTACGATTCTCAGTAAAAAACGGGTGTTATGTCAAGTGATTAACTGTTAGATTATTATATACAAATGTTTCGATGCCTTCATCTTATGCCATACCTATGGCGTATGTCGAGGCAGATATGGACGTAGAGAGTAGATAAACCAACAAGGTGAATCACCAGAAGAAAGAAGAAGAGCAATAATGCATTAAAAGTCAAGTAGCCACCCAAGAGACTCAGACGAACAAGATATGCCCAGACATCAGGCATTAGTGAGTCAGAGCTGAACCTAGAACTTCAGCTACATCATAAAATTGTAGAGCATGCGTTCAAAACGAACAGGCAGCTTGTTGCTCTTCTCGACGCCCTCCGACAGCCAAACGCCCGTACCGCCAATTTGGTTAGCCATAACCACATCTGTCAGCAGTCTATCTCCAACCACAGCAACCTCTGCTGGCGAATCAACCACGCCGTTCTTCTTCAGGTACGCGACAATGTCCTCGTGGCAGCCCGGCTTCTTGACCGCGTGTCTATACACCTCGATGCCTGTGTTTTTTTCCACGCGTTTTGCGTCGGCAAAGTCCTTGTCGTCTTTTGTGCCAGCTGAATTAGACACAATCAGGAGTTGAAGCGGGTTTGGATACGCCTTCTTTAACTCGTTCATCTTGTCGTGGTACTGCTCGTACACATGGTCTTCTCCATCGACCGCAAAACAGTTGTCCTTGTCGAGAATCACGGCCTTGATCTGGGCTCCGTTTTTGCCAGGGATGGGAACAGGAAGCTGAGAAAAGTTTGCAACAGTTATTTGCGGCTTGATGAGCGCAGGATTCAGCAGCAGCTTGAACGTGTTGAGCGTTGCCGAGAGATTCAGACCGTTGACCATGTTGTAGATGTTGATCTTTGGGATTCAACTTGATCTGAACTTTGAGATTTTGTGATCCAAACTTAGTTGAGATTTGTGGGGGGGGTGGATTGAACATGGACAAGCGCTACATTGAAGAAAAGCAGTGTATTGTATCATTGTAACAATAAAAAAACATGGCTACAGTAATACCGCTGTAGGCCCCCTCTCTATGACCCAGGTACACATACAAAAAAGTTGTCAAAAGACACAAAAAGAACCGTCACGGACAGGATTCGAACCTGCGCGGGCATAACCCACTGCCTCACAGCTAATCAATTAGCAGGGCAACGCCTTAACCACTCGGCCACCGGGACGCCAATTATTGGCCTAAAAGGCGACATTTTCCTTATCAATAGATGCGTTGCTGACTAAGCGGCGGAATTTTTGAAATCGAAAAAGCGAACGGTATAGGGGCTTGTAAGAGTAGTGGAGAGTATTAATTAAAGACATATACAACTGGAGAGTCTGTTGATATCTCTATAATGTACCTACCTATATCAATTATCATTCTACACGCCTTTCGCTAGGACTAGAAATCTTGAGTGTGTTGAATAATCTTAGTCTGTAATACTTTCCAGTGAAGTGATGAACTGTCTTGGAGATTATGATGACTGAAATTACCCTGTTATATCTTCCAATTTCCACCTCCAATATTTCCTCCACAGGACACGTTTCGAGCAGCATAGATTATCTGCAAAAGTCTTGGAAGAGCACTAAGGGGTTACTAGAGAAGACGACGCAGCCATTTATTGGAACGTGATGAGGAAAATCGTTTGGTACCACTTTCATGTCTCTACCGTCCACCTGTCTTGAACTGGGCTTCTTTTGCTATACATCGAAATCTTATCGGCTCATAGCAGCGCCATAGATGATATCACGGAGGCTATAGTATATCATTAGAGAGAAAAGTCTAGGGAAAATGCTCAGATACTGCATAACTCTCTCCATCACAAATATCATGTCTTCTAGACAACATTCACGACGCATAGAGTATCTGCACAAATCCTAGAAAAGTATTAACGGGACTCTGGAGAAGGGAAAACAGCATTCAACCAAATGTTGACGAATTAGACTAGCATAGTAGTTCTACTTTCAAGTATTTTCCATGAGTATAACACTTTCTAGACGCATTTCGCTTGTTGCAGAAAACGTGTTCCTGCTGAAGAATCTCAGTCAGTCACAACATGTAAATAAATAGCGTATGGCTAGAAATCTACGAATGCATGGAATCGTCTGGAATTACCTTCCTGACTTTACCATGTATATTGCTCCGGTTGGATCTGTTTCTTGCCGCATAAAGTATCTGCAACAAACCTAGAACAGCACCAAGGGATTTTCAACTGGTAGAGTGACGTATACCACATGATAGTTCCAAGCTGGAAAAGTTATTTGGAACGAATCTTATGTCTCTGACACCAATATTGCCTGTTCTTATCAACTTTCAAATTTCACAAAAAGTTCGATTCTCTTCTCAACGATGCAGTATGTCATAGAATAGATATTCAAGCGTATGAATGTGAAGCTCTGAAAGCGATAAATCTTTTCGTATCACTAATTCACTTTCGTCACTAATAGTGCATCTACTAGACGAGTTTTACGCAGCATAGACTATCTGCAGAAATCCTGGAAAAGAACAAAGCGGTTACGAGATGAAACAATGAGCCAAACCACTGTAAAATCCTGCTCAAGACAAGTATTTTGGTATTATTATCAAGTGTGTAACATCAACAATGCCCCTTCTGACCAACTTGCAATTTCCACAGGAAACTAAATTCTCCTTGCAACAACGCAGTCTGTTGAAAAATGGAGAGTTTGGCATATAGTCGTGAAGCTCAGAATGTGAAAAATCGCCTGGATTTATTCACCAAACCCCATCACCAATATTGCATTTGCTGAATCTGTTTTACGCAGCATAGAGTATCTGCAAAAACCCTAGAAAAGTACGATGCAGCTACGAGAAGAGAAAACGAGCTATAGGGTCGTGAAGCCCCGCCTCAGAAGAGTCTTTTGACATCACTATCAAGTGCGTAACGTCAATACCCGTTCTCAGAGAATCAACAAAAAAGAAAAAGTCCACAACACTCACCACCTCTACGCTTCGCTCGAGGTCTAAAAAGATTACAGCACCCAGGATTCTCACATGGTCTCCCACTGCAATACTGACTGGGCTCTCTGGTGCTTGACTATGGCTGATCGGACGGGAAGCCGTATTTTCACCAGGATATGGCCGTAACCTACCTGCGCCGACCCGGAATCGAACCGGGGGCCCATCGATGGCAACGATGGATTTTACCACTAAACCATCGGCGCTTGGAGGTATTTTCGGGGTGATTATTGCTTAGTAATTCTCAAAAAACGATTTCTGGAAACTTAATGCAGGTCCCAAGTAATTAGTTGGAGTTAAGAACTGGCCAATTAATATAGACCCAACCTTAAATTTCCCAAACCAAAAACCAACACCACCACTCTATGAACCTAGTTTCATCAACCAATCCACATCAATGCCATCAACTCAGAGTCTTCAAAATATCAGCATCTCTTGGAAGAGCACCAAGGAGGCCAAACCAGCTTTTCTCTTCATTCAAAGATACCCCCTAAGCGCACAACGATACTCTTTACTTGATACCCCCAAACGACAGATACCACAGCCAGACAACACATTACAGACCAGTCCAGGGATACTGCAGAGACTTCCAAATGTACAAAGATGGTGTTCTTGCCTGTGTGTCAACATGAACAAGCCGCTTTTCACGTTTGACTGAATCCAGTTCTCTCAACGCTACATCGCAATGTGATACAACAGCTCCTACCAACAACTTCATAAGGAGCCAAGAGCTCATCTGCTGGATGGATTGGCAGTCAGATTGAGTTCTGGACACCGGATGTTCCCAGAGATATCAGACGACGCTAGCTTACTTTCAGACCAGGAGCAAGTCAGCACGTCTAGATCCACGACTACTGGTACCGGTATGCAGTATCCTGAGGACAGCATTCGTGCTCGAAATGAATCAGGGCGTGTAAGTATCAGTTCTGTGACGTTCCTTTGGAGG